GCAGCGTCGGTGCGCTTGGTCACGCATTTCAGTGCGCTGTTACTAACTGGCGCTAACGCACTGCGAGCCATCGAATCGAATCGGCAATTTAGCATTTGACAATTAGCCAGTGTGAGCTTTGGCGTCGTTGTGCTGGTGCTGATGCTGCTGAGACTGTCACTCTCTCCAAGCTGTTCTAAAGAAAGTAAAAGTACGGTTTTAGTAGCAGCGCCACTAATGGAACGTGAAATGGAACCGAATGGACGGCTGGGCTGGAATGGAATGGAATGGAACGGCTGCCGCCGGCAAGAGAACAGCTCCGATCCTAAGCTGACTGACGCTGACTGACAAGTAGAGAAAGTAGTGAAGTTAAGTAAAGTAGAATAGAGAAATAAAGTACAACTGCCAACAAAGAGAACATGTCTTAATATCCACGGCCATAGCAGCAGCAGCAGTACGACCATCGATTTGCCATCAATTAGCGTCCATTCTGACGCGGAAACGGACGCCAGTCAAATAAGTCTCCCTCTCTCCCTCCCTCCCTCCCTCGCTTCCTACTACCACTGCTGCCCTAGTCAAGACAGGGCTTTCGGTCTGTGTGTCAGGCAGCCACTGTGACTGGCACACTGCCGTACATCACACACACACACACACTCACTGTACGGCAGTCGTACAGTCAAGACGACGGAAAGCCAAGACTCTCTGCCTTGGAGCAAGCTAGCTAGCAGCTAGTAAGTAAGAAGTATAAGTATAAGCGCTGCAGATGGTGGAGTGATCATTTCATAAATTACCGAAAGCAAACGACACAGACACAGAGGCTGCCGTTCAAGTCTCTCTCTCTCTCTCTCACAGTCAGCCAAGTGAAGAGATAGCGAGCGCTCACTTCCATGGCCATATATAGTCGGCTCTGGTAGCAGAGCAGCCGAGCACCAGGCCTCGCCAGCAGATACAAAGATACTGCNTCTCACAGTCAGCCAAGTGAAGAGATAGCGAGCGCTCACTTCCATGGCCATATATAGTCGGCTCTGGTAGCAGAGCAGCCGAGCACCAGGCCTCGCCAGCAGATACAAAGATACTGCAGGGAGAAAGAATAGAAAGCAGTCAACTAATAGCTGAGTGCAAGTCAACAAGAGAGAAAGGGAGAGAGTGTGTTTCGATTTGCCAGAGTTCAGCGTTTTGAACCGATTTCTGCGAAACCCGTGTCTTCACCTAGTGTTCGACAATCAAACAGACTGCGAAACGGTGTACGGAAACAACAAAAATGTAGCCGACATCATGGCCAAATGAGAGATAGATAGTGCAAAATGATCAATCATATCATTGTAACACCAACACAAACAGAAATAAGAAAACTGGAAATCACTTACCCAATCATCGCCGTCATGGCCATCATCGTCATCGCCGTCACTCTCTCCATCCATCATCATATCGGCGACGGCAGTGTTTCATGGTGGGCGAATAGTGGGGAATTCAGGGAAGATGGCCGAGAAAGGACAAGTACACTCACCGGGAAATGACCAGTTTGCCGGCCAGAGAACAGGGATGATGATAAACAAAAACATCAGAGACAAACAAAAAAAATGTCAGCCATAAGCCGGTTTCTATGATTGGCCCACAGGTGATCAGCTGATTTATCGCGGTAAAAAAGTGTTGAAGAAAGCTAAAAAATGAGCTAAAAAAGTTGGTAACAAGCATAGGTAGACTTGTAAGTAGAGGGAAGATGCTTATAAAGCATTACAACAAACAGTTTCGAACTTCGAGTGAGAAAACTCCACGTCACCAGTGCTACTCTAAAACAAAATGGAATTTGTTTTGAAACAATCACTCGTGAGCATCTTAACAACTACCACTCTTCTTCATTTTTTTTCAAATCACCCAACTTCAATAAGGACTTATTTCTTTGCTGGAGATCGAAAAGCCGTTCAAAATCCGAGCCATACTAAAAACTTGTATATTATAACGGTTGAAAGTACATGCAAATGCGAATGAATAGTAGTAGTATGCGTGAAGAGTATTTACAGGGGTGGATGTGGGTATGTTTAAATCGAGCTTCACAACTTGCGGAAGGTAGCCAACACTGGGGCCATCTTCTCCATGGTGTCGTGGATCTCCTGTCGACTTTTGGCGCCTGGGTACAGTGCTGTTAGTATACAGAAATGCTTCAAAAAGCAGCACTGTTACTTACCAGTGAGGATAATCTTGCCGGAGACAAAGACGAGCAGCACCGTGCGCGGGCGGACCATGCGGTAGATGAGCGCAGGGAAAAAGTCCGGATCGTAGGTGCAAAACTGAGTGTGCACGTGCGACAGCTTGTCCAGGCGGATGGGAAACTTGACGTCCACCGTCGAGACGATGTTCTGTATCTTGAACTCGGTGAACTTGGTCTGCGAAACATTGATGATATTGAAGAACTCAATTAGATTATCATTAAGTCTTGCAGCAGGCTCACCTGATAGCCGACCAGCTGAAGAATGCGACAGCACTTTCGCGCCGCCGTACAGGCCTCCCGATCGCTCTTGGCGCCCGTCACCACCACCTTGCCGCTGCTGAAGAGCATCATCGTCGTCCGCGGCTCGTAGATGCGCATGATGACGGCGCGGAAGCGCTTCGGATTGTACTCCGAGTTGCGAATCTTCACCACCAGCTGGTTGAGGTCCAGCTGGACGCAGTAGTTGGCCGTCGCGACGATGTTGTGAATCACCGGTTCGTCGTAGGGAAAGGGCTGTAGAGGAGGCCTGATGGGTGCCAAAAAACTGGTCGATGAAAGAGGGGTGAAGGTGGTGGACTGCTGAGAAGTGCTAGGGCCAGCTTTAATAGCTATCGATGATAATGATGCGGATGGTGAAGGTGAGAGCGGGGGAGTTGTTGATGATGATGGGAATGCTGACAGTGGTTTGGGCTGTTCCTCCTCTTCGATGTTGCTGCTGCTCACCTTCACCACCTCATGATCCTCGTCTGTCCTTTGCCGCTTGATGGCGATGATCTCCGGAGAGATGGAAATGACAGTTTCCTCTTTTTTGACGGTCAGCTCTTCTTCTCTTTCGCCATCCTCTTCATCGTCCTCATGTTCTTCCTCGTCGTCGTCCATCCCCCCGTAGGCCGCAATGGCCTCCGCCTCCACCCGGGCCTCATGCTTCTTCAGCTCCTCCTCAAACTCGGCGTCATTGTACTCATCGGCATCGTAAGTCTCGTACTCGTTATCGTCCATTTTTCAGCTGGTGGACTTTGAAGATCCAACAAAAACAACTTCTGCAGCAGCAGCTGATGACACGCCAGTGAAATCAAAACACGCACATTTCACTTTGATTGTTTCATTTTCGATAGTACCGATAGTCTCAAATCGATGGTGGATTCAAAA